CATCGTGGTGTTACATGTGTGCAATGGCGGAGACTCGCTCGCCCAGCACACAGGTTGTAGCACCGGGGCGCAGCACACCGTTGGGTGCCTGCTGCTGCCCTTGACTTTAGGAGGGACGTGCACCTGTCCTCAGCATCATCCGCATCCCCAGGGATGTAGGGATTATAACCGCAGGTTTTGGAGAGGAGACATTAAAGGGATGTGTACGTACAACCCTACTGAAACCTTTCCAAAATAAACCAAAATTGCTATTTCCCTGTGAAAGCCTCTTTCACTGCAAACACACCTCATTCCTTAGGATTGTGGGGCGTGGGTGGAAGACCTCAATGGTAGGAGGGACGGGACACAGAGAGTCTCTGCTGATGGGGAACCACAGTGCCAGGAGAGCAGTCCCTTTCCGAACACTTGCCAACCAACACTGCTGGTCATTCCGCATCAAAACCACTAAAAACCTTTTCAGCTTCCCCCCACTTTCACCCTTTTCTTCTGTTTGTTTTCTTTTTTTTTTTTTCCCCTCCCCAATCAAAGACAACTTCATCCCTTTAAGGCAGCTGAAATAACATTACCCTGAAAAGCCAACCTGGCATTTGCAACGCTGCAACTTGCAAATTGTCTTGGAGAACAAGCTGTCAACTCAGCACTTGAATTAAGCCGCTGTTTGCCAAACAATGAGCAAATGTGACCTAATGGGGCACCATCTGGCAACCTGCCACTCCGGAGTGGGTGGGAAAGGCAGGAGATGCTGTCAGGCGGCGTGAAACTCCAGCCGCTCTTTGGGGGAAGGGAAAGAAAGCGCAGGCAGCAGCCTGGGGAAAAAAAAAACCCTATAATAATCCTCCCAGAACAACTGATGGGTAAATTAGAGGGAAGAGGGTTCCCCTGAGGAATCTCTGCTCCTGCTGCCTTGGGGCTGCCCTCCTCTGGTTGTGCTGGATGGGTTGGGGTGTTTGGGTTGGGGAAAGATGGGAGCTGGACATGCCCCATCAGGCTCTGGAGAGATGAACCATGGAGGCTGCTTCCCACGTGGGGTCGGTGGGGTGGTTTTGGGAAAGCTGTCCCCTTCAAGGTGAACAGCATCTGCTCATGGTCTTCCCATAGGTCTCCTGCTCCTGCCTTTACTGCTCTCTTTGCTCATCCCCACCGCTCTGCTATGGGTTCCCTGTGCTTTAACGCCAGACTCGTGCTGCCCCAAAGGCAACCAAAGACAAGTGGAGCTCCAGTGAACTCACACAGAGGGTCTGTGGGCACGGACGGCTTCCCCAAATGCCTCTGCAGGGCTGGAGCAAGAGCGAAATGCCGGTCCGCGGCAGGCTGCAAAACGCTCTGACAGTGCTGCTACAGCAAATTGCTCCGGCGCCTGCTAACGTGGACCTAAGTGAACGGGGACAGCTTCCCTGCAAGGCTTCACCCACCATCTGATGACACAAGCGTTTTGAAAGAGATGTATTAGCGGTTCCGATGTGAGCTGATTTGTACGCACTTATCTGCCCTCTCATTTCATTTATCTTCGCACCTCTAACAGATGCTGACTGGCCACTTCAGCTTCCCTCCCCTCCCTTCCTCCCCGGGCTCCCCCTTCAATAATTAATCAGGAGATGCGGCTTTTATTTCTAGGGCTTCGTGTGTTAACGAGGGAGGTTCCTCGCATGGAAAAACCAGCACAAGCAACACCTTCCAGGTGCTGCTCCAAAGGTTTGAATGCTCACCGATGCTTTGGTGATGCCTTTCTCCTTCCAGAGGGAATTGCAACCCAAGCCGAGGGGCTTGCAAGAGGTCAGCCAGCAAGGCTGACCACAGCATCACGCTTCCCTGCCTCCAGATGGGATCTGCCTTTCCCTGCTGCCTCCCTTCCTCAGGAACGCTGCTGCCCATCGCAGAGAGCATCTGCGAGCAGTGCCGCAGCAGCTCGTCCCTTGGGGATGCTCCTCCTCCCTGGGCCGCGGCAGGAGAGAGCCGGGGGGGATCTGCCAGACCTCCGATATCTCGTCCCTGAAGCTTTGCGCAGCTTGTGGGGTGGAGAAGAGACACGTCCTCGTCTCCTCCTGTTTGGTTCGCCAGTCAAAAAGCCACACCTCAGCAACTTGATGAACGAAACCAAGTAGGAAGGAAGGTAGAAAGCTGGAGGGACAGGGAAACTTCACCTGGTGAACACAGAAATACCCTGTGTTTTTTGCCAGGAGTGTTTCTGCTCCTTTACAACTTTATCCCCATGGAGGATCCCAGCCACAAGCAGATTCCCAGCTTCTGAAGGGTCCTGGTCTGCTGCGCAGGGGCTCCAGGGAGGCATGAGGTACACGAAGCCATCTCCTTGCAGCAGTCAATGGGACGGGGTGAGCGTGGCACCAAACCCGCGGGGGAATCCAGCGCTTCTCTCGTGCCTGGCACTTTCCTTGTTATTTTGCACAAAACCACCTTCCCTGCTCTGCAAAGGACAAGAAGGAGGTTTCAAGATGAGGATAAAAGTGACTTGTGAGTTTCCTGGATCACGGTCTCACAGCCTGCCTGCAGATCCTCCTCCCAGCAAGAGACGTGGAGGGCACCGGGGCTTGGCAACCAGACGGGGAAGTGTCCAGAGGTGGGTTCGAGCTGGGCAGGCTTCAGGTGAGATCCTCCTCCATGTTGCCAAAGAAAGAAAAACGGAGGGCAAGGTTTCCAAGAGTTGTTTGACTTTGCAGCAGCTTGGGAAAACACGCACCGTGGCATGGTGCTTTATTTATTTGTTCAAAACCGATCGCTTCCGCAAAACTGGATTTCCCGAGCGCGGAGATGTGTCACAAACAGCAATTTTTCGTGCTTCAGCAGAGATCAAGGTTCTTGCTCCAGTTTTCCAAGGCTTAACACTGCTAAATCAATGTGGCTGAACAAGCAGTATAGATCTTTTATAATGTCAAATTGGTTTTTAATAACGACAGCTGGTAACCCTCTTGTAAAGCTTCCCGTGATGTGCTTGTGGACAGCCAGAAGGCAAGTTACTCATGCTTTTAACAAGCCCATAACATGTCTTACTCACCTATTAACCTTTCAGTAATTAGTTACCAAGAGAATCTGAATAAAACGGAGCCGGGAAGATGTGGAGGATGCTCCAGCAGCCCCATCCACCACCTCCACCGCTCTGGCTCTTTGTGATTTCTTCCTCACGTCTCACCAGCCTTACTACACGCAGCCTGGCTCCCAGCCCGTGCTCCTTGTCCTGCCGCCCTGGAGAGCAGGGGCTTCTTTCATTTATATGGTTGCCTTGAAGCTATTTATAGATTGCAAATGTGTCACCCAGGGTCTTTTCCAGACTACATAAATTTACCTCCTTTAGTCTCTCCTCGTATGACAGCCGCTAACTCACGTGCCGTCATTTTTTGCTGCTGGTTTTCCCCCTAAGCCAGGGACAGGTCTGTGCAGGAGGAGCACGGCATCCTTGTGCCCTCCCCTTCCTGAGCCTGCCCCAGGAGAGGGGCGAGGGTCTGCCCTTGGAGATCCTGCCCAAAGGACCTCTTCCCATGATTTTCTTGGGCTTGCCAGGCCGCAGGGAAAGACTCAGAGGTTGGCACGGCAGAAGGGACACCACGGGCCGCATCCCAGCCTCCCTGAGCTTCTCGGGTGGTCCCCACGGGGTGACAGTGGCAGCATCACTGTGAGATGCCTTCACTGCCCGCTCTCTACCACCATCAGGCACCTTTTGAGGACCTAGCTCCAAATTCACCACTTCTCCCCGCTACCCCGTGTTGTATGGCCAACGCAGACCTAGCATCCTACCCGCTGCTGTCCCTCATCCCCTTGGGCTTTGCACATTTTCTCATCTTCCTTTCTCTTCACCAAGCACCATCTCAGCCTGTCTCCCCAGATGGGTATTTCTTTCCCTCCGGGCTGAGTTTCATTTTGTTATTTTCTTCCCCATATTTCTAACCTGCCTTATTTTTTTTCTCTGGCCTCTCTGGAGGGTGTGCCCAGTGCCTCCCAATTCAGTATCTTCTGGAAATTGAATCCAGCCGGGTGATGGAGGAAAACAAATTTCAAGCAGGAAACAGATATTTCAATCCAAGCTTCAAAGGGGTTATTACAGACAGCAATGAAAGAACAGTGATTAAAGAATAAAAAAAACCTAACCTGTACTGGCTTCTTTTAACACTTAAAGATAAAAAGAGAGGGGGGGACTTTTCTAAGGAGACATTCTCCAGGGAAATAGCATTTTTCAGACTCCATCGATCACCTCCCAGCTAAGAGTGCCCGCAAGCAAATAAGAAAGGACAGCTTGGGATATGTCAGCTCACAAGCAACGCCACGGCTTTGTTTAGGTTTTCATACGTCAGTGTTTCAGCGACCTGCTCTGGTTTCCAAAGGAAACCTGCCGAAAGCTGGGATGAAGTGCTCGTGCTTCCTCCCAGGGTCTCAGTGGAAGATGCTCAGCTGAGTCTTCTCCTGCGCAAGGGGTAAAAACCCAGCAGCTCCATCACTCCCCCTCGAGGACCCTGTTTCTGGCCGGGCTTCCAGGCTTGTGGAGCCCCTGAAGAGCCAACCGTGTTCGCAACAGGAGCATGACGTGCCCTATAGAGCATCGGTACGGAGAGGAGCATTGCTAGCGAGCACTTCATCTGCCTGAGCGCTGCCCAAGCTCACTGTAACAAATAAATTCCTCTGCCTGTGGTACAAGGACTTGTAATTCTTCAACAAACAACGTGCGTGAACAAGCTATTTACTTTATGGCCCTGGGAAGTCTGTAGGACTCGTGCATGCTCTTCTTTATAAAGCTCTTCATCAGGCCATGGCTCTCTCCAGCACTTGCCAGCGGCACATGAATCACAGAATCATAGAATCACAGAATTGTTTAGGTTGGAAAAGACCTTTAAGATCATCCAGTCCAACCATTAACCTACACTACCAAGTCCACCACTAAACCAATTAAGCGGAGAGTCATAATTAATTTCATGTTTCCTGGCTTGGTGGCTGGATTATTTTTTAATGAAAGTAAAACTAG